CCACTGAGCCCAGGGCCAACAGTAAATGTCTGAGGGAAGCACCCATCCCAATATAATGATAGTAAATAATAAATAACAACAAAGTATGACCTATAGCTGCATGTACATACACTGTACATCTATATTTGCTATTTTCTTTTTATTGTCTATTCTGTAACCACAAAGTAATGTGGGCACAAACGACGAGAGTTCAGTGTACGGTCAGCGTGCTGAGCTCCCATCATGATGCTGATAAGCATGATCTAATTGATCTAATGGATCTAATTGGTGGTTCAAACTGTATTGTACACAAATGAACAGAAGACACTCATCAACTGTAAACGCTGTCGGGAGGACGGAGGAAGTGCCAGGACGACAGCTTTCAGCGCTGATGGCGTGTGTGCGTACGTGCCGTCGGGTGCAGCAAATTAAAATCGTTTTGAATCGGGGAATCTTTTTTTTTTTAAACCCACCCCTGCTGAGCCGTGACAGAGCAGCAGTGAGGGGGGGCCTTCCTGTGAGCAAGGGCACTTCCTCCCAGTCTCTTAATTGGTACATGGTAACGAACAAGAAAGGGTCAATACTTCCTGTCCAAAGTGAACACCCCTCTCCTCTTTACAGGAGAGGGGTGTTCACTTTACAGGCTTGTAAAGTTTAGACAAGCTAGCAGAACATGAGCTGAAAAGTCGGTGAGATTTTAAACTGGAAAGAGAAATTAGAAATGTTTAGAATTAACAATAAAGGATGACTTCCTGAATCTTATTTTGGAAGGTTCAGGCTTGGTTTCAGCAGGGTGTCACAGACAGGAAGTGACAGAGAGAGAAAAGGAATGCACATACAACAACATGTCCATTAATCAGTCGATAATCACATGTTTAATTTGCTGGCAGGTCACAGTTACAAGCTAGCTAACTTGTTACAGTTTTAAGGCCTCCCAGATTGATTTATGATAACAAACTCAACTTTTGGGGTCTTTATAAACTCTTAACTTATTCCAGACCACACTGTCACTACGTACGCAAGAATGAATGTAAAGCTGACTACTTCCTACATCTTGGCAGCCCAGTTTTAACCAGTTAGCATGTCATGTGGTCATATGTCACTGTCACAGGGTCTCTGCTGGTAACATAAAAGCTGACGCACCACGATGTCCCCGTCTGACCATAACTGAGACGTCAGTCCACCTCTAACCCACAGCAGGTGTGTACACCCTGTGCTCTGACAGGCTGCTAACAAAAAGGAACTACTACATCCTGCATTGATAACATCTTTTTCTGACATTATTTATTTATCTTTATCAGTGACACATCAGGTGAAACTACAACACAAAAGCTGTGTTTAAATGATTGGACCATGATGTATCGAGTTGATTGTATTTATCGCTCTCTACTTGTGATTTTATTGCCAAAGAAAAACTGTAAACAAGGTCATACTGTGGTGAAATGCTTTATGATGGTTACCTTTTGGATTCCAGCTGCTCCTTTAACTTGCTGTACATTTCTAGCACTGCAAAGGGAGCAATGACAGGAAGCAGGATTAGTTTGATGGTTCA